CTCTCTCTCTCTCTCTATTTCTCTCTCTCACACATACCATATCACTTTCGCTCTTTCCCTCCCCCTTCAACTTACTCTCTCCCTCCCTTCCTCCCCCCCCTCTCTCTTTCTCTCTCTCTCTCTCTCTCTCTCTCTCTCTCTCTTCTCTCTCTGTATCTCTCTCTCTTTCTTTCTCTCTCCCTCTCTCTTTGCCTCACCCCCTCTCTTGTGCATACACAAGTCTATGGATCTGCAAGACCTCAAGTTCTTAAAAAATCTAGACACCATGCAGAAAGGCTTTCCGCACATCTGTGGAGAACTACCAGGCTGAGGCTACCACAGAAAACCTTCACCACACTATGCAGTCAAACAAAGCTCATCCCCCTCCCCCACCCCCCACCCCCAAAAAACCGAAAAAAACCCAACCGTACACAAACAATTACAAATATTATTCAAATTTTCGGACGCAAAGTCCCCGAGGACATTGAAAAAATACAATTTCAGAAAAAAAAACAATACAGAGAAATTTCTTTTTCACAACCTCCCTCCATGGCACCTCAACAAGGCAAACATAGATTTAGACATAACAACACACAAGTCATAAAAAGACATTTTTTAAATCTTCAAAATCGCACTCGCAAAGCTCATCCAACATGGCAATGGGCTTTGTAGAAAACTTTCCGTTTCTAATTCTGTCCAATTCCTTACTTGCCTTGTCTCACTTCACTCACCAATTCCTCACTCTTAAACTAAGACCTTAAAATAGTTGAATTACAGTCAAGAATCCACTCCTTGGCTGAACAGGGGAATCGTATTGTGTTTGCATGGCTGCCTAGCCACGTAAGTATTCAAGAAAGCGGGCAGGTCGATCTTCTGGCGAAGGAATCCTTTTCTCTCCTGTTAGGATCAACGGAAAACACCCTCCCACAGACTGACTACATTAATTAAGGTCAAAAGCTACACCTCCAGTCTGTGGGAGGAACAATGGAACGAACAAGTGAACATCTCCGCGACGCATTGCCCAAAGTTGGGGTCACGAAAACCTTTGAGACTTTCAGAAGAGACAGTTATTTTAAACATATTCGATATGTCCCTGACACATGACCTCCGCAGGGAGATGAAAAAAGCATTTTGTGTCGGATGCAAGGCTGCCTTACGATCACACACATCCTAATAGAATGCATGTATGGACTTTGGAGAGACCCGAAAGAAATATTTGAAATGCACTAATCTTAAGAATGTATTGTTCTCCATTGTTGATCCTAACAGAATTCTTGATATAAAGACCATTGATCGTTTCCCAGATGTGTAGATAATGATATTTTACACATGCAAATTGCGCTTTAACCCTATCCGTACGCCCTGGGGTTATTTTGTACCCCCTGGATTGTATCCTTCACATTTTAGAAAGCTTCTAGTACGAAAATCTCTTTGAAACTTAAGTATTTCTTTAAAAAAATAATTTTGACCGACTACTGGGCAAAGCGTACGGATCGGATTAACGAGTGAATTTCGTTTTTGAAAAGTGGTGGCACAGAGTTCCCCACGTCGTATGGATACGATAGTAAAACATGACGTACGGATAGGGTTAAAAACTGAATTTCTGCTATGTTAGCCTAATGTTTAGATACTTCATTCAGTTATTCAGAATCTGCAAAGAAAAACCAAGCCGTGATGTGAACTAACGTGAAAATAACCAACTTGGGATCCGCGCGCTCATAATATGATCATGAAGTGCCGTAAAACTCTCACCAGACCGAACACACACACACACACACACACACACACACACACACACACACACACACACACACACACACACACACACACACACTAGCACAAAGAGACACACAAATACACACATCTATGTAATACACATAACACATACTCACACAATAGCGCACGCACACATACTCAAGTGCGTACACGCACGCACACACAAACTCACACACAAATAAACTCACACTCGCACACACAAATACTCACACATTCACAGACAAGCGAAAGCTCACACACTCACACACAAATACACACACACTCACACACACACACACACACACACACACACACACTCACTCACTCACTGACACACAAGCACATACAGTGAAACACATAGACACACACTTTATATATATAGCCACACTCAACATACTCGCAAAAACGCATACCCATGAATGCGCTCACACTCTCGTTCACACGGGAATTGTTCTGCCCGTATCTCAATACTCAGTACATACTAATTCACTCTTGCAACGCACGTGCTCACTCATAAATATGTATTTCTCTCTCTCTCTCTCTCTCTCTCTCTCTCACACACACACACACACACACACACACACACACACACACACACACACACACACACACACC